GTTGGCTTGTACAGTTTGTGAACTACAGTTTGGGTTTGACCACCAGACAACAACAATGGGATAACCAACCTGATTGGACAAACATCATACATTTTCTTTCACTCTGTTTTCTCCATAATGAAAACAGAAAACTCCGATAATGAGTATATATGGATAGTTTTCTTGAGATCTCAACTTCTATATGTTGTTATAACAGGATAACAATCCACGTTTTTGGCTGATTTTCATATCAGTAAAAAGGTGCAACCTTCTTTTTTAACTTCCGTGAAAGTGATTCTTATCGGATTTCTCGTGAAACCTCTGTTATTTCCTTTTGATGTAACAGGATGTGTCCTATTTGACAAAAACTAAGAAAAAAAAAAGGGAAATTGCAAGACAATTCACTTGTGGTTTCCTGCAAAGTAGAGTGCAGACATAGTCCATCTGTTTCAGGTTCAACAAAACGCCCAAAAACTCACACAACCGTCCAGGTTTGCAGAGCAGCATTGTTGTGGGCTTTCAGACAGAGCAGCTCATTAACACTACAGTCCAGAGCCTCAGTGCAGACCGAGTTACAGTGAGAGCCTTGTTTCTTAAACTTCTCAGAACTGGCTCTCAATGTACTTGTGAGCCTCCACATGACAATGTCAGCTCTATGTGCAGCGGCAGCAGTTAGAGTCATGGCAACAGCATGAGAAGCAGACAGAGCTGTACGACATGTAGAAGGTCATTCCTCTTAGCTACATAAGTGAAATAAGGACATCATCATGTCTGAATGTTACCAACATTGTGCAGAAAATATGTTCCTTTATATTGATAGCATACATCAATGAAACACATCCATCCTTTATCTATGCCGCTTTCTCGTTCCAGGTCGCAGGGGGGCTGGAGCCAATCTCAACAGTCATTGGCTGAGAGGCGGGGTTACACCCTGGTCTGTTCACTAGTCAATCACAGGGTTGACATACAGAGACAGACAATCAGCCACATTCACAACTATTGGAAATTTACAGTCACCAATTAACCCAACCAGCATGTCTTTGGACTGTGGGAGGAAGCTGGAGTACCGCAGGGAACCCACGCATGCACAGGGAGAATTCTTTAGCATTGAAATAAAAAAATAGAATCTAAAGACTATGGCAAGAAAACCAAATAACAAAAATTATATTAAAATAATAAAGAAAGCAGAAGTCATTGAAGAATATACTGTTGGGCACAGAACAACCAACGAAATGGTCAAACATGTGGTCACACAGTTAAATATACCAGAATTAAGTTAAGTTAGAATTGGGTTAAACTCTTTTTCTTTCTGCATATCTGAGTTTAAAAAAGATTTTAAAAGTTACCTAACGGGTGCCTTTAATGCATCTTCTTTTCTATGGAGCACTTAAAATGTAGAATGTTATTCTGTTATTCTTAAAATGTCTTATTTGTTCAAAGTAATTTGAACACTTTTTTGTGTAGTGTTTACACAAATGTATTATTAGTGTACATCATGAAGGTTTTTTTTCCGGCTTTTTATGCCTTTATTTTATGCTTCACTCAATCACATAATTTCCAAAAACTTTTTGTACACTTCATTTTATTTAGTGAGTGTGGATTGGGGGGGGGGGGGGGTTAACAAGGTACCACTGCTCAGACCACTTCCCCTCCTGCACCCTCTGCCCCCCGCTCCAGTTTTCCTGATCCGTCTTAGATCTGCTGGGTCGAGCTAAAGCCCCAAACAAAGACTCGTACACAGAGAGCCAAACACAAACTTACTCATGTGTGACTGAGGGCAGAAGAATGCACAATATGTGAGCGTGTGTGTGTGTGAGAGAGAGAGAGACACACAGAGATCATGAGGAACAGAGCGGGAGAGAACCAACACAAGTGTCCTTTCACTCATGAATGTGTTGCCCTTTTGAATTATTCATTTCTTCACAGCGAGGGTGTGGATATCAGTGGGTTTGTTTTGTGTTTCTCTTTCTAGGTCACAGGTCCCTCATGCTCTGAATAAACAATACCTGCAGCTACCTGTATAGTGACAGGGACGCAAACTATTTAATGCTATTAATTTCTAGAACGCCTTCAAAAGAATTTAACAAAGTGTCCTGTGCGTTATTAACTCGAACAATAATAGCTTGTACAGAGAACAGAGCTGGTTCTCCAGCAGCCGCTTTGAATTTGAGATGAAACAAGAGAAGCAGGTTTTTCCTGTTTGTTTTACGTCTTCTTCAGTGAGAAAGAAAGGGGAAGTGATGTACACGCCTGTTGGAAAAAACGGCTGCAACATTTTATACGTGTTTTCTGCTTTTAGTCAGTGGGAATAGAGCAGCTTTGTCAGTGTTTATATCAAAAATGTGCCTCATTTTCCTAGAAAGCTGTTCGCCCCCTCTGCAGGCAAATGTTTGTTATCTGTACCTATGTCACAAGATCACAAAGCCAAAGTGAATGTGAGGCTAGTTGCGGTGTAGTTAGAAGTATGTAAAGACATAATGTGCCCCAACAAGAAAGATCTCTTCATCGTCAGCTGCTTACATTTCACCTTAAACACAGACAGAGTCAGAACCGCAGTGTGTGTAAAGAAGTGGACGTAAGCCTCCGGGTTTTGCAAACTGAAGCCAAAGCACAAGTGTCGTAAATTGTTGTTGTCTGTAACGGCCTGTGAGGGAGGACTCTGACGAGGACATTTGTTTTGCAGCCAGGTAATAAGGAGAAACACAAAAACAAAAAGGTACATGAAGTCAGACATTATCAACACAATGAAACCTTCAATACATCTTTCATCATGTGATGACTGCATAAAGAAGTCCACGATTCATTTGGCAGACGCTTTTATCCAAAGTGACGTACATCAGAGAGTAAGAACAACACAAGCAAGGATCTAGAAAAAAGGGAACAATGTCATTAAGAGCAAACAATCAGCTTTGAGTCTGATTGGACACACATGTGCTGACAGGAAGTGACCAGAGGCAAAGCACAACATCGACAGCTGTTCTAGAGAGCTCCAATCACCATAGAAACCATCTTAAAATCGTCTTTATCAAACAAAAACCGGATTGTGTTGATCCATGGCACAGTCGGTTTCATGCTCCTTCAAAAACAGAGAATGAGCCCGCTGTTTGCCTGACCACCCCTCATTTGAAGACCAACACACCCAGTGGCACAAGTGCATTATTTGCAAATTGATACACAATGTGGCTGCTGGATGAGAGATTGGAAAATAGCAATGACACCTGTGCTGTGCGCCAAGAAGCTCTGCGCCTGAAGTAGGATGCAGAGACTGGTCTGCAGAGCCCCCCGCAGCCTACATCAGGCCCTCCACCCCATCAGTCCTGATGCACTCCACATCAAGACATTTGGCCCTCTTTGCACTCTCTTTGCACTCCTCTATCCAGTGTTCCCGGGAGACAATGACTCCCATCATGACCACCTGCTTGGACGACTGCATGTTAAGACCAGATGGGTGTTATCCTTGTTATGTTGGGCCAGATCTTCAGTTGCCTCCCCAAGGTTGGCACCGACCGTGACTGTAGCATCTCAGTGTCAGAGCACCCTCTGAGGTCTTGGTCTATTGTATAAATAAAGGGGGTGATAATGTTGTTGTTTTTTTGCAGACATGATATCTGCAGCTGTGCAGCTGGTGGCAGCTACATCATTATAACCGTAAAAGTGAAAGACGTGAGAGGAGTAAAGGCTGCCAGAGGAGTTGCTGTAGAGGTTCTTTATCTCACCTTTTTTACAGCTGCAGTAAAAGCAGGTTGTAGTATGCACTGTGAGTGAAGTGTTACATTCATCAGGGGGAAAAAAAGGTCAGTGCATTGAAAGGTCTGACTGTTAGAGGACAATTCTTAGTCATCTCACTGTTAATAATAAACTGGAAACAAGAGCTGAGGAAGATTTGACTCCCACACACACACACACACACAACCTGACCGCTGAGGAGAGCTAACTGTGTGAATGAGGATCAGGATGGCCACTGTCACATGACAGCGTTTGTGAGTAATCTCCTTCAGACTGGGAGGTCTGGCTTTGAAGCTCCTCTTACACCCTGATCCACAGTGACACACGTGAGGGATACTACGAGGCCACTTCACCTTCAAACAGACTCGAGTTCTGCCCGAGCATATCACCTCGTCCTGCTTTTAAAACAGAAACACAATATTTATGTATGGCCGGGGGGGGGAACACAAAGAATACTGGATACTGGATATTTGCTACAGGGGGGATTCCCAAAATCTGCAGATTCTCTAGAGACTACAGAAAGGCTACGGATCCACTTTAAAAAAAATAGATATACTGTATATACATTTTTGCTATGAGGGGATTTTAGCTGGTTGTAAAACAGACCGAGAGCCGTACTGATGTCTCTTTATGAGTTGCAAAAGCAAATGAGACCGTCAGCAACAAGAGTTCTCACTCCTAAGTCATTTTTGTGCCTTAAACTGCCGCGGGGGGGGGAGAGGGGGGGGGGTGTAAATGTGTCAGATGCTGTATCATGCTACATGCTGCAGAAGCCGCCCTTTTTTTTTTTGCAGTTTCCAAGGCAAAGATTCTTGATGAGTGATATGTTTGATTTTTTGGTTATAAATGCACTACCTACACATGTTCAGGACAAATATCAGCTAAGAAATAACACGCTGTTCTTTGTCCACAGGGGGCGACACATTTGTCACGGACCCAAAAATCCTCTTAGAAGCTTTAAATTTAGGGATTCATTTGACAAAGGCAGGAACTGCTGTCTTGTAGCTAATGAAAATTTTACTTTGATCATTGATCAATCAAATAGGTTTTAAAGGTTTTAAATGTCATAAAACCATTTTAAATAGTAGAAAATGAGCCCTGTGATTTTCCAGGGACTCTGGGTCATGGCTGTGTTTGTATACAAACCACTCACTGCTGCGCGTAAAGAGTCTCCACCTCCCTCCGCCCAAATAGGGACAGCTGAGACCACTCCTCCTCCCCCGCTCTCACACCCTCCTCCCTTCCTGCCTCTAGGTTCAGGCTGATGCAATGCTCATCTTTATAAAAGGTGGACTCCCCACCCCTCCTCCAGCAGAACTGGGTCTTCCCTCTGAGCGCATCGCATCTCTTGGAATTTGGGTTTAAAGTATAAATAAATCTAAATTCTTGTGATTTTTTACGCGTGGGTCGGCTTATTCTAAGACTATTTTTTATTTATTTATTGAGCTGTTACAGCTTGTGTTTTAAGTCACACCCTGTCTGGTGAACAGGCGTCTCTGTTCGTTTTTTTAAATTGAATTCAAATTCAACCAAAAAAAACACTCAAGGATCAGGCGGATTTTGTGAAGAAATCGTCCGGACTTCTGTGTTTCTTCTTTTGTCTGAAAGGATTTTACAGGCATCCTGCCACATCTTCACAAGGTAAGAGCGCCGGCATCTTCTCATTTACATCTCTGACAGAATATGTGAACGGCCCTGACAACTAAAGATTAATCTAATTCCTCTGAATGGCAACATTTTACACCTTTTGATTTTGTTTTTTTACACTACTACATTCACTGTCTTTGTTTATTATTTTGAACGTGATTAATTAAAAGTAGATGCGTTGCCGGCACGTTTGGGTTAATTAGCCAGCATTAAAAGTATTAAGTAAGTCCCTTTCCTGTCAGGAATATGAAATGTGTAGATTTCCATCATAAAGAGGCAGAAATGTCCTTTTTTAAAGGCCCGAGGCGTTTTTGTTTTACCAGGTCAAAAATAAATAAATAATGCGTGACAGTGATGCTGCAGTGTCTTGACGTGGATCAGGGAAGTGTCACTCCCATAGTCAGACAATAGAACACAAGCTGAGTGAAAAAAAAAGAAAGGTAAACCTGTTTCCGTGTGTGCGTAATTTGAAAAGACTGTAATCATAATGTGAGGGTGATTCAGAGCGCGAGCCTCTGCGCAAAATGGAGAGCCATGCCCATAACGAGACAACACGTGCCATTGTTTCCATTGGAGCCGGCCATGGAAATAATGTCATTAAAGAGATCTGGGGGAACGCCTTGTGGGTTCTTTGTGGATCTACTGGTGCGTAAAGCTCAGCCAAGAGGAAAAAGAAGACAATTTATAAGAATGTCATATTAGAATCTAAACATGAAGCTTTCTCCCTGATGGATTCCTGCTTCATTCATGATTAATACATGTTATGTGTGTGGAAAAAGAAGCTGACACGCCCTGCTTTGATCCAGATTTAAATGATTTTAAAGAGAAATGTGCGCAAAGTCAGCGGCGCGTACTGCGGCTTTTTGTCATTCAGCGGGGCTGAGGTGATGTCGGCTGGACTCGGATGCCGGTCTGGTATTTTTCCACTGCCGGTGCGTCAGCCCCCACCCCCCCTCCTTCCCTCCCCCCTAATCCACCCTCCCCCCTCCCCCTTGCTCTCCCTCCGCCTCCCTCCAAAAGCGAAGTCACATGATTCAAGAGCAAGGGCTGCGTCGCGCGCCTGTGCTCACTACAATATTGATCTTTCAGCGTGAACGCGCAGGCCTAGAAATAAAAAATAATAATAAAAAGAGAGAAAACGACTGTGGCGTAATAACATGACGCAGGGAGTGTGGGTGCTCAACACAGCAAACACTAACTTTCCTCATCATTCCTGTTTTGAAATAGTATGAAACAGCCTACAGCCAGAACAGAGATGAGCCGTTTCAACATCTCCCCTGAAGAAGACAGCAGCAGCACCAACAGCAATGAGTACACATACCAGGACTGTCCCAAGAAGGTCCCACTGGGGTGAGGCTGCTTTTAAAATACACCCTGGAAACACAAAAAAAAGCATTAGAAAATCTCAAGGAGTAACTCTAAAATGTCTAAAATCTCTTTGCTTTTTTCTTTTAAAGCCAATACTCTGACAACGATGCAGAGAGTCAGAACTTCCTCCCTGAACACAACCTGGGCAAGAAGAAGTATGAGACTGAATATGTAAGAGCTTCACGTATCTCCCCCTCTATCTTCTCTGTTGGATAACTTCTGTTCTTTAGTGTTCTAATTCCCTTTCTGTCAACCTCTCCGTTTATTTGCAGCACCAGGGAAATGCATCCTTTGGCATGTCCGTCTTCAACCTGGGCAACGCCATTATGGGCAGTGGTATCCTGGGTCTGTCCTATGCCATGGCCAACACTGGGATCGCCCTGTTTGTGTAAGTAGCAGCAATATCTCAAAAGTCAGATCTTCAGGTAATAGAGTAGACTACATGCAAGAGTAGAAATCTGCTACTCAAGAAGACAGTAGGAGTTTTGTTTCATAATCAGCAGAGGCAGGTGTGAGTTGGTCTGTTGTGTCAAGGTTGCACGTCAGGATGTACTGAGCTCGGCTGTTTCTCCCGCCAGCTGGCATGTTTGTGTTCACCGAGCAGCAGATTACGCCGGGGTTGAAAGTTTACTAATGCTCGTCGCTGCAGTTTAAGCACTCGCTATCGTCTTTGCTGTAGATAAAAAGCGAGGAGAGAGAGTGTTCACTTTAAGGTGGGAAAGAAAGACAAACGATGGGTTCTTAAAACAGCTCCCCCTATTGGTTGTCAACTTCAATTTCAGATCACAGCGTTAAAGTACTTCTGCAGCACGTGTGAATGATTTCCAACAAGTTCTCCTGTGGATTCCTTCACTTTAAATGCCACTGACACTTTTCCTTAAAATCCCTCTTCCCCTGAAGAGAGATCCTCCAATCAGCTTAATGTCTCAATCTGGAGTAAGAGGGAACAAGAAACCAGCGACAGAAAGAGTGTCCTTTTTTTTTTTTTTTTTTTTTAAATAAAAAAAAACTAGACTAAGTTATCTTTAACTATTTGATCCCTAAGCTGCCAGGAAGTGGCAGTTGTAGTCGTCATGTAAAAAAAAAAAAAAGGGCAGGGTGTGGCATGAGGAAGCAGCTTAGCCGAGCTAATCCCGCTGCATTTGGGCCGAGTTGCGTAAACAGAGAGCGTATAACGTATTGAGCCGTGTGTTCATGAATGGAGCGCCCACACACAGCTTGGCTTCACTGTCATCCCCGCAGCCGACCAATCAGAGCCCGTTTACGCCCCGCAGGGAAGTTAGGGATTAAAACTTTCCCTGTGTGTATTTCGAAATGTGTGCTGCTACGTCTGCACAGAACGCTGAGGCAACTCTCAAGAGGACACAACAGGACTCCCCTTTAAAAAAGGTCGCCCAAAGCATATATTTGTCAAGTGGCCGACGTAAAAACTGATAAGGTACGATGATGTCAGAGGCAGGACGAGGCTCAGATGTGCTGGAGATTACATTTTCACCTGCTCTATTAATACCCAGACACACTGTGCTGGCTGTGCGGCGTCCCAAAGGTTGCTAAGAGGATCCAGTACAGGGAAACATTTTGTCCCGTGCTGCTGGGGGGGGGGGGGCTCAAAGTACCCTCAGACTGATGATGCATTCAAGGTCTTTGCTGATCAGGCTAGGGAAAAGTGGGGAGATGCAGGTAAAGCTGCAGAGTTTGGAGTCTTAAAAACCAAAGCATGATATGAGACATTACAAGAACGACCTGCGCAGGGGAACGTCTGACCTTCACGTTAGCTAGATGTCGATGCGCGTGCTCTCCACCGTCGGGGAAAATACATTTGTCCTTGAATTGGCCTTTAAATCACATGTTCAACACAAGTGTTCATTCTAAAGATCAGCACGCGCAGCAGCACAGCGTTTAAGCATCGACCAAGTTTGGATTTTATGGTCATTGCAGGCGTTGTCGACAAATCAGCTAAACATCCCTCTCGTCTGTTTACAGGATTCTTCTCGTGGCGGTCGCCATCTTCTCTTTGTATTCTGTCCACTTGCTTCTGAAAACAGCGAATGAAGGAGGTGAGTCTGAGAAAAAGGACGTGTATCTAATCTTTCCGATGGCTTCTTGAAGTCTTTTTGAATACTAAAATCGTATTTTCTTCTCACACGAAGGTGCACTGGTGTACGAGCAGCTGGGTTACAAAGCCTTCGGGATGCCAGGAAAGCTCGCCGCGTCCTGCTCCATCACCATGCAAAACATCGGAGGTGAGGGAGACTTCTTTTTTAAAGCCACAAACAAAACTTACTTTTAAGTGTTATGTAACTATAATTGAGCTACTTCTCTATATTTATCCTTCATGTGTTTATTTCACGAGATGAAAACCATCACTGTGTCTAAACTCTCTGCATGGGAGGGTGTGTGTGTGTTTGTAACATAGAGAAGCTTCCAGTAAAAAATTGAGTCATTCCACAAGCATGTGTTCAGCCTTTTTTTTTCTTCCTTCCATCGGAAAAAAACTCGGCCCCTGAGCAAACGTAGACATCACTGTGTTTGTAGTGGAGTTCCCTTCTTGGACGTGACTCTTGGCTTTTCTTCAGATGTACTAAATAGTAGTTTCTGTCTTTTTTTTAACAGCCATGTCCAGCTACCTCTACATCGTCAAGTACGAGCTGCCCATCGTCATCGAGTCTTTTCTGGGAGCCAGCAACGGGTGAGTTACGAGAAAATGATTTCATCTTTCCACCTCTTAAAAAAAAAAAAAAGAGTTTGAAAACAAAAGTGTCTCTGTCTGTGCTCATATCTGACAGTGAAAGTGGTTTAAAGGTGGCTTGTTCTTAAAGGAGCCCTGTGGGTTTTTTTTTTTCTTTCTTGAAAACAAATAGAGACTTTGTTTGCAAAACAGGGGCCCACTCATTAAAAAAAAACATTTCACCACAGCTCTCATAGTGGTCAAAACCTGCACAGTGCAACTTTAATTTCAGCAACCTGACAGCATGCATCACTTAGGGCCATGTACCAATGTAACGTGTAACAAAGTTTGTTGTCAGCTTAAGGGTGGCTGCAAAGATCATAGATCCAATGTTAAGATAGCAGGAAAAGGGTCACTTAGTGGTCAGTGCGTGCCTCATGTGCAGAGGTCTTAGTCCTTTAAGCCAGCGGCCCAGGTTTGAATCCGACCTGTGGTTCCTTTCCCGCATGTCGTTCTCCTCTATCTCTATCTGACTCCTGGCTCTATGCAGTCCTATCTCTACAATTACAGCACTAAAAAGCCCTAAAAAAAATTGATCGAAGTCAGGTTGAGATAGCATTGCCAATATGGCCACCACCACCTTTTGGCTTCACAACGCCTCTTCAGAAAGCAATGGATGACGTCCATGTTTCTTTATCTTCAGACTCGTCTTTTCAGATTTAACATTGATTCATTTCTGTTAAATTTCACTGATAAAAATGATCAAACTAAATAAAAATCCTATTGGAAGTGTCTGGACTTGAATGAATGAGGACGTTTGGTGAAATAATGGACACGATTTAAAGCTAGTAAAAAAAGAGAATCTCAGCAGATTTCTAAGCGAGGTGTGAACAGGACCGGGGACAGCTGGCAGAGGCATTCGAGGTGAAGTGGCACCTCAAGCAAAATGGCTGCTGGTTGTTTTTCAAGTGTGTGTTTAAGGAGAGACGGAGGAAAAGACGGGGTTGGGGGGGGGGGGGGGGGGGGGGAGTGTTTAAGCGCTGGCCCTTCAAAGAGCCCTTTTAGACGATGCAGCCGCTGGTGCCGCATGGAGACAGAGCAGCGCTGCATGAGCTCACCGCCGACCTCGCCTCCAAGTTTGAAAAATTGATGGAGTTGAGCTCCTCTGCGTTGTCGTTGGATCTATTTGTGAGAGCGATGATGCAGTCATCCTGCGCAGGGCCAGTTTGAGAAAAGCTGCGACTTGACAAGACGATGCGTGTGTCAGAGAGGAAACTGAAGGGTTTGATCAAGGCCGATAATCAAAATGACGCTCAAGAACAATTCTGACAGGATGTGGTACCCTCTGATGCTTTCTACACAGAAGTAAAGTCAGTGCTGATGAAAAGGAATCACAACTTTTTTTTTTAGCTCACATGTTGTGCTCTCTTTTTTTTGTGTTTCAGAGAATGGTACACAAATGGGGACTACCTGGTGCTGCTGGTGACGCTCGTCATCATCCTGCCCCTGTCGCTGCTCAGGAACTTGGGTAAGAAGCGTGTGTCTGTTGCTCAATCTGATGTTTCTCTGAACAAGGCTGGACAGGTGATGGTGATTCATGCGTGCACGACTTCACAAGGAAAAAACAAAAACAAAAAAACCCTGAAAATAGAAACCGGAAAGAAAGAAAAACAGAAGCTCATGTTTGTGTTTTTTTCTCCTCCACTCAGGTTACCTTGGTTACACCAGTGGTCTGTCTCTGCTCTGCATGGTTTTCTTTCTGATTGTGGTGAGTAAAACACACTGTTTCCTCATTACTCACACACACACACACACACACACACACACACACACCAGATGAGACTTAGTCAGAGAATGAATCGGTTTTCTCATAATAATAATAATTCTGGCTGCAACTTCAGTTTTTTCTAGAATTAAGTTTGGAGATATGAGACACTTCCTTGAGCTGATTTTCCACAGCAGTCTAGTTTTAACGGGGTTTCCCCATTAACAACAAACCCCTGAAAAAGTACAAACAACAGTAAAGATCAACTGATATATCTTCAAATCTGTCGTCTTGTCATTCAGGTGATCATCAAGAAGTTCCAGATCCCTTGCCCTCTGCCCTTGGACGTCTCCGCCCTGAACGAGACGCTCATCAAAGTCGTGAATGCCACTATTGCTGAAATGAACAACACCGCCGTGGATTACAGCGAGGACGCCTGCACGCCAAAATACTTTGTCTTCAACTCTCAGGTAAAGCTCTTCGAGATACAAAATTTCAATTTCACTCGTGCTGAAGCAGGATTTTTTTTGTAATCGGGCAAAGATTTAAAAAAAATTGTGGGTTTTTTTTCTCCCTCAGACAGTTTACGCCGTTCCCATTCTGACCTTCGCCTTCGTGTGCCACCCGGCCATCCTGCCCATGTATGAAGAGCTGAAAGAGTGAGTGCTCTCATTTGATCGAGTTGACCTCAAACTGTTTTCCTTTAAGAGCTTATCTTACATTTACAAAGCAGCGAAATGTAACGTACGTCTTTTTCCTCCTTCAACAGCCGCTCCCGCGCCAAGATGCAAGGCGTCGCCAACGTGTCCTTCCTCGCCATGTTCATCATGTACCTGCTCGCCGCTCTCTTTGGATATCTGACCTTCAACAGTGAGTCTCCCTGATACAACATGTACAGTAGACACACTGAATGAACAGATGTGAGGCACTATATGTACTAGATGTGACAGTCTAGATCAGGGGGTGGGCAACTGGTGGCCCTGGGGCCACATGCAGCCCCCATCAACCCTCAAAGTGGCCCACAATTTTAACAAACCAATTAATTGGAAACATGAAGAAAACATGACAAAATCTGCCATGAAATCGTGAAAATGTCCATAATAATTTATGATCACTGGTATATGTTGAGTTAAATTTGAGACATAATTGACTGTAATGGTTAGCCAAACATTTTATATTTTACAAAGAACAATCCGACCCGTTCAGGTCAACAGGAGGTCAATGCCCCTGAACGTCAGAGCAGATCAATCATGCAAAGGGAAGGGGAAGAAGTAGCTTCAGGGTCCAAATTCAATATACCAATATGCCTTGTTGTGCAACGCTGTGAACGTGCACACCTGCTGCTACCGGCCAACATGACGCCGTGTTAGTGTTCCTGTTTGTCGGAGGAGGAGGAGGAACGTTTCAGGAACATCAAACTTGTTATACAAGAGCTAGATAGCGAGCAGAGACTTCCATAACCTTGAAGTCTGGACAAAACCTGCTCTGAAACGTTGTGTTGTGTAGTTCCAGTTAATAGAGATTGAGAACAGCAGCCGCCTTATTCTGAGTTTGAGTGGGAGTGAAATCACTGACTGAAGCAGCAAATGTGCTAAAAGTGCAAAAATGATTTTGCACTGAAAGTTGTTGAACACAGGGAAATATTTTCTATGCTACTTATTCAGATACCACTGGAGCACACACCAAAATATTTATGTTCAGCTAACTAAAGACTTTAATTTTGATGTTGCCTAACAGATTCCCTCAATTATCCTAAAGTGTAAAGTCTACAGCCGTGTTAGTGTGTGTTTGAGGCTGTACTTTGGCACTTGCTCTATTTTAGAGGAAGCTAACATGGCTAGCATAACGACAATGCTAAGAGAGTCAATCAAACTGCGCGCTCGTCCTCAGTAACTCACATGGGAGCTGAATCCTCAGCCAAAAACATTATCAAAAGTATTGCAGGACATCACATCAAAATCTTGAATGAATTTGTCTTTATGGATGGTTTTCTTTGTTTGAGCTTTAGTTCTAAAGTGTCTCTTCTTTTGTCTCATCACAGTCCATGTCGAGCCAGAGCTGCTGCACACTTACTCCAAAATCTACAAGTCTGACGTGATCCTGCTGATCGTCCGTCTGGCCGTGCTGACCGCCGTCACCCTCACCGTCCCTGTGGTGCTTTTCCCTGTAAGAGATCAAGCTGAACTCAAGTTATTAGCGTCAAAAAAGATTTTCATATATCACGTAGGATAACCTTTTTTTATTTTCTCCATCTGTGTAGATCCGTACCTCTGTCAACCAGCTCCTGTGCGCCTCCAAGGAATTCAGCTGGATCCGCCACACCATCATCACTGTGGTCCTGCTGGCCAGCACCAACGCCCTGGTCATCTTTGTCCCCACCATCAGAGATATCTTTGGCTTCATCGGTGGGTGTTTTTTTTTCTTTTTTTGAACATGTGCATGATAATGCCATAAAAAAAAGCATCTGACATTTTCAAAATGTGACTAAAATGACTCTTCCTCTTATTCAGGTGCTTCTGCTGCTGCCATGCTCATCTTCATCCTGCCCTCGGCTTTCTACATCAAACTGGTCAAGAAGGAGTCCATGAAGTCTGTGCAAAAGATTGGGGTAAGGGAGTTACTTCTTCAGCTATGGTTGACCAAAGTACAAACCAAATTTCCACTACAGAAGCTTTTTAGCTGTCTCAGGTAGCCTATTAGCTTAGCATAAAGACTGAAAAACATGTGGAATCCGCTCGACTGGCTCAGATAAAAGACTAAATCTGCCCAGCAGCTCTTAAGCATGCTAATTCATTTTACAGCTGGAGTAAAGGTTGTAAAATTAACAATTGGTGGTACAAGGATGCTAATTATTGGTCATTTATTATGCTAAGCTAAGCTAACCAGCTTTAATATTACAGAAAGATTAGAGAATGATTTTAATCCTCACACAAGTTAGGTGGAAAAAATGGACCAGCATGTTTCCTGTGGTCTGTCAACTTGCTCAGGGTGAACACGTGAGCTAATTGTGAAATCCTTCCCGCTCTCTCCAGGCCACCGCCTTCCTGCTGTGTGGTTTCGTGGTCATGATCGGCAGCATGACCCTCATCATTATGGACTGGATCCACAACGCCACAAACGGCACGGACGCACACGACGGACACTAGAGCTCCACCTACCCTCCGCCGCGTCCTGCCGAGGAAGAGAGGAGGCTCCCCGGGCGCCGGACTGCTACGACCGCGCAAACCAACAAAGATCGAAAAACGTATTGTAAAAGAAAAAGAAAAACACAAGAACTCACTTTATGCTCGGCTTTGACTTCCTGAGCGACAAACCATGCCATTCCAAGAGAATGTATCCGAACTTTGTACAGTACGCTGTTATAGGCCACACAGATGGTGTTTTTTTTTTCTCTTTTTATTGTAACTTTTTCAACGTTGTTTTTTTTTTTTTTTTTTGCTTTCTATGTTCTTTTGTAGTTATGGTACAGCTGAAAACAAATATTTGAAGGTGCCTCAAATCAGAGACGACATAGAAATAGAGTTCAAAGTGCAGCTTACACTCAGGTACGGTGTTGTGTATGTGGCAAGTGTGGCTGCGACCGCCGAGCTCGGAAACGACAAAAAACAACAACTGCTGAGAGAAGTGTTCTGATCTCCTGAAGTCTGGCAAGAGGCGACGGACTGGAAAGTTTAAACCTCAAGGACGGTTAAGTTCCTTCCAAAATCTGATGTTTTGTTTTTTTGTTTTTTTTTACTTTGCCAAAAATGTATTTGTAAAGCATCTTTGTATATTTAAAAGCACTTACCGTTCAGCACACTTATGAAGAAAAAAAAAAAGATTGTCGGTTTTCACGGGCGAGGCCTACTACATCGCCTACTCAGTATTTGTGACCTCGCTTACAGCGTCAGCTTTTTTCCTTGTACAACATAGTCTAAGTCATCAGAACCTGCCTTCTCAAAGCCGACACTGGGAGCTGCAGAGTCTCTCGAAAGAGGACTCTCCTGAAACTGTATTTACTCTTTATAACCTGCTGAAGATCTTGTTGGAAAAGCGTGTGCAGCGACGACACTACTGCTACGAGAGTTCAACTTCCCCACTCAGGGGGGGGAGGGGGGGAACTTCAAAGATGTTTTCTTTATGGGAGAATAAATTTGACCACATGCAGTGGTTGTAATATACCTGTTTTAACGTGCAAAAAAACAACAACCTAAAAACCAGAAGTAAGATGTGCACTCGTACACCGACAAACCAAACGACAACTACAAGAGCTAAGGAGAGCGTCTGTCACAATATTTTAAGTGTTTCTACGTACGGTCGCACAAGTTATATGCTTTCAAAATTTTTCACAATGAAGAACTTGTTTGCTCGGTGCAGGCCTTTTTTTTCCGGTCGAGCCGTGAACCCATCATCTTGACGGTTTCTCGTGCTTCCAACACTAACTTAACACGTCACCAAACTGATAATGTCCAACATCTATTTATGGAAGACCGTGAAATCAATGTAATTTAATCTATTTTACTATATTTATATAATGATGTATGTATATACATATGTATATATATCTATTGAGTTCAACTGTATATACGCTTTGTTTGAAGTTTTTTTTTTTTACAATAATGTTTGGAGCTGTAAATCAAAACTACCCAAAGCTGGTGAATTTGTGATATGGAGTCGGCTCCGACACACTGGAGCTTCAGCTGTTCATCTCCGTTAAGACTGACTGAATTATTCTGCTGTGTTGATTCTGTGAGAGCTGTGTTACATGTGGAAGCCACTGATAAAAGCGGCAACAGTTTCATCTCCTTTTTGGCCCCTGAACACGAACAACCTGGATCAACAAAATGGTCTTCACGCACATGCTGGTTGGAGAGTATGTCAGCCATCTCTTGACCTCAGGAGCAAAGAGAGCTTTGCCCGCCAGTGTTACACTCTTGTTTCAATGAAACACTATGTACAATGTGTAAATAATGTCCGAATAAAATCAAAGTTAATCTTTACATTGGCCTGTTTTCTTTTTGTAAATGTGGTCTCTGCTGCATTTTGTTCCTACTCTCTGATTTAAAGTACACACTAACTAAATTTGAAAGAATAGTTTTCATGTCATTGTTTATAATAGAGGCCGTTAATACTCTGCTGGACGGACACTTAAAAAAAACATTGTGGGTCAAAAGTAAGAGTATACCCACTACTTAAGGCACCACTGCTCATCCTCCATCGTGCTGTATCCAAACTCGTCAGGTAACTGTGAGGGCTTGTCATAAACAACAGGAGCCACTAGGGGGCGGTATTAAAAGTAATTTTAGTAAAAGGTAAATGCCTCTAATATTTCTCTTAACAGGTACAATTAAGTTTTTTAACTGTATGGCCTTTTGCCTTTATGGAAAAGAAAGCTGAAGACACCATCAATTTGGGGAGGGGGGGAGATATGCCTTAAGTGGGCTGAGATCAACGCCTGCTCTTCAGAGCTAAACAAGCTCCCCAGTTTAGATCTGTTTTCACTGTGTTGATCCAGCTCAAAGTTTGTTCCCTGACATTCAAACAGATTATTTATAAGAACCATGAGCACCTTAAATTTATCTTTTAATATTATCAGACAAAGTGATCATGTACCACTTATACCGCACACACAGTACCTAAAATGTCTGTTCCATTTCCATTTTTTTTTTTTTGAAACCTGTGATGAAGGTCTAATTACATGAAATAAACAACATCATGGCCTTGATGTTTTTTTCTCGTGTTCTAGTCTTTTAGCCACAGCAGAACAGGTGAATGTGGTTTATGAGGACGAGGGCTTTTACTGTAAATTCAATCCGGGAGCCACTGAGTAGCAACGTTATTTTAAATGTATGGTCAAACAGTTTCCAGAATGATTGTTCCCATCAGAGCCACTAGAGGGCCTCAGAGGTAACACAATACTTATTTACTAATTTTGTTCTTCCAGGTATAATATTCTTTGAATGTCCTCTTAGACGACTACGGGTTAGAGAAAACTATCCTTGTATGTGTGTGCTGAATCTAGTTTACAGTTTCAGCCTGAAGACATATACAGTTAAAAACACTTCAAATGGCTTAATGGACCTTTTTAAAAAAAACCTCTACACCTCCTATTTTACAACACAGATGAGTTTTATTAGAGTGAACTCATAGGTTAATACTTCTTCCTTTCCAAAAAAAATCATCAGCAAATCATCATGTGTGTTATTTCCTAAAAGCCTAATCAGGGACAAGGACTGGAAATAAGCCCGGGCTAGAAGTCCTAACATTGCATCGGTTACACTTTAATTAGATGTAACAATGTCTACATGTATGGTCACTGACAAATAAATCACAGGAATACCGTTTTCTTTTTTATAACTAAATTTCTTAAGATTTGCATATTAGAAAACAAATATTTATGTAGTTACTTTCTGTGTTCAGCAAATAAAGTTCATGTGTTAATGTGTGTGTGTGTGTGTGTGTGTGTGGGGGGGGGGGGGGGTGTTATTGTTATCTTAGTGCAGACTGACATGAAGTAGCTTTAAGCACGGCTGCAGTGTTGGCCCTAAATTAAACATTTTCCTCCAGGGACGACCACTTTTCTCACGACAATGCTGCCCCCTAGTGGTCAACTGGACACACCACAGCCGAAAAAAATTGAAACCAGCGTGGGTGCTTCAGCGGTTTTTGATTGTATAATTTAAGAAAGTTTTGCTTGCAAATTTCTCCCTAATTGTGTACCCAAGTTTGCTCCCTTTTTTTTGGAAACCTCAAGATATGAAACATTTATATAATATGTTGATTGAAGCTGATTTAAGAACAGATTATTTTATATCCAGTGATCTTCATAGTACAAAGACATGCCAGGAAGATGAGACACTTTGCACCTTTTGGTTAATGTACATCTTAAATTAAAGCTACAAACGGTTACTCACCTTCAAACTTGATGAAAACACGTCTCACCACAGGGGGCTTGATTTAGGGCCTGGGGGCTTTGGATCCCTTCACCTGCTCCTCATCACCAGATTTACTTCATCCAGTTGTCTTGGAATCGGAGATGTTCAAGTATCGTTTTTTTCCCCCCCAAGTTGGCTCAATACTTAAGACTGATGATGAACATCACACTCGCTTCCTTTTAGTTTTCAGTGAGGAGCAGAACAATGGAGAGATGAAAAACACTTCCTCCACGTGAAGCCTCTGACAACGACACAGAGCAGATCAGGAAGCAGCTCATTTATTTCACTACTCTCTGGAAACTTTGCAACGTTCATGTTCACCCATGGACATTTATTACACATTCAGGCAGAGGGGGTGTGGTCAATGTCAGGTGATCCCCACCCCTCCCCTCCCCCACATTATGCCTTACATAACACACTCTGCTGATTGATCATTCCACTCAACACCTCCTTAACCAATCAGGGCTCTGATTACAATCACACTCATCAGTTTTTAGACCTTCATTGGGCCACAGACAGTTCATAAAGGCAATGCACTGATTTTTAAACTAGGCGTTCTTTTGAAATATTATATATTTAAAAAAAAAGAAAAGAAAATTGACAAATATTCAATCAATAAGCTACGTGATCAGAATGCCATATGGGAGAAATTCATCGTACCAGCCGGCACCCTGCAAGAAGCTCTCCACTACATGAGCTGTCGTCATACACTGAGCGTTGCATCATAAGTATCAACAGTCCCACCCGCCCGACGCTTGCCCCCCTCCCCCCATACAGTAGTTCCCAAGTCACATATTCTATGCAAAATAAAGGGCTCTTGCATTTCAATTTCTGATTGAGTCATTTTTTTTCTAACAAAATATGAAAATCTATAGAAAAAAATCTTCTTCATTCATATCAAAAAGAAAACGTCGGCTCTCCGTCCTCTTCCAGTTAGGAGGGCCGAATTCCAGCTAGAGGAAATTGCACTTGAGCAGCTGAATGAGTCTGTGAGGGCATCGGCATGCCAGCAGCAGCAGGGTGGTGGTGGGGGGGGTTCATCATTTCTTGCGGGCGTGCTTGTATTTGTCCACGTAGGCCTTCACCAGGTTGGCTACTTTACTGGCATTCACCTCTCCACTCTTGCTGTGACATACCTGAATAAAAAAAAAAAAAAACACACAGGAAAGGTATATCAAACTGGGAAGCTGATTGGCCAATTACCAAAGACACTTCTACTCTGGGCTTTAAAATCCACTGGATCACCGCTAAGGTCGGGAAAAAACATCCATTCATGTAAAAATGGAGATTCTTATCTTCTGAGATTTTAAATAGATTCATAACTTCCTAAAAGCGTCACTCCCTGCTAAGTGCTAATGCTAGCTCTGTAACTCAGTAGAATGCAAACTGGAGCAGCAAAAAATTCAGTCAGTCTCACAGATGACTGGAGTAGATCCTGAATTATGTACTCATTAAAAAATAGACGATGAACCATAAATCCAGAATCGTTTTGAAGATAGATTGTGATTGTAGCCATGTACAACCATTGTTGGCAGGGCTGCAGTGTAATGGAGACATCATGTGTGTTCTCTGTAGTGGACTATAAAGTGAACTCATTCAGCAGAATAATAAAAAAATAACATTTCAAATACTACTCGCCATCTAGCCGTCCTAATTTCTGTCCCAATACTTAAAACGTGCAGCTTAACACCGGTATCCTTGTGGTTAGTGCACATGCTCCATGTACAGAGGCTATAGTCCTCCAAGTTGGTGCCCTAGGTTTAAATCCTGCCTTTGTTTTCTTTTCAGGCATGTCATTCTCCCTCCCTGATTTCTGACTCTATCCACTTTCCTGCCTCTAATAAAAAGGCACAAAAAATACCCCAATCTAAGGCTGAAGATTCTTTACGTTTTATTAAAACAGCTTCTGAATTTCTGGCTCCAAATATTTACTTTTCCTGCGTTTCTGCTGGTCGCTTCCCTTTGTCCGTCTGCCATATATGAGAGCCGACAAAAACACCACCCCCTGCTGGTGAAAGCTCTGAACTGCACTGCGTGATGGAATATATTTCTTGGACAGAGAGCATCAGTTGTAAACTACTTTTCACATTGCATTGTGGGATACAAGGAGTGGACTACAAATCAGGGTATGTCCTATGCAGTTCAATATAGTAAGCAGAGGGTGAATCTGGACAAAGCAAATGTCTTTTTCTGCAACTGATTGTGACACACGATAAACTGTTTAAAATCCTTATCTTTAACGTTCTTAAATTGTCTGACCTCTTCAAACACACACTGCTGCTTTGATGCTCAAACAATTCATCTTCTAGCCTTAAGATCCCGACACACCGAGCAGACGGCAAAGAACGAAGAACCGCACTAATGGGTTAAAGCATGGATACTACAGCGGCATGCTCAAGGGGCTTTCCTAAACCTGTGAGGAGAGCTGGAGAGAAATTAAACCTCCCAAACAGACAATCAGAGAGATTCCTCTCACCGACCGCAGACGTTGATTTCACTTCTCGAATCGGCCAAAAAAAGGCAGACGGGTAGCGACACAGCCAGACACACCGCAAAAACTAGGGCGACGACCCCACACCAACTGTCCAACTAGGACCGACAGCCAATGATCTTCTTGGTGTGTCAGGACCTTTAATCAAAGTGCTGACTGGTTCTTACTCCAGAGAGAGTCAGATGAAAACATAAAGTTCCCTGAGCACAGACAGCTAGCTACAGCAACAAGGTGCAACGACGACAGGTCAGCAAAACAAATTCAGTCAATTTGTTTTGCTGACCTCAGCTTGAAATCTTCAATTCTTATTCTCATATCTGTCACCCGTCACCTTTATCACTGCCCTGCATACGTGCAGGAACAGAAAGCCAGCAGGTTAGCCACAGTAACCAAGAGAAGGAAAGAGCTTATCAAAGTGTCGACTGTTATCAGAAACGTGCGTACCTTCTCTACCGCTTTGCGGACAATCTCCTTGTACTCGTCCTTGGTGATTTCCTTCCTTTGGTAGTAGGGTTTGATGGCTGTCTTCACTTCATTTATAGCTCTCTCCTGGATCTGTTGTTTCTAAAGCAAAGATGCAGAAATTAGATAACATGAAAAAGAAATGATAGAATTATTCAAAACTTCTGGTAACATTTTTTTATTTTTTTTTAAATGACGTGATGGCAACATTGCAGGTGACCTTTTCTTTTTTGGAGCTGTCGGCTTGAGCCCTGTGATGCTGGCCTGGCTGAGTGGTAGAGGATGGTAGTACTTGGCTTTGTCCCAGATGGCCCTGGGTCGCCATGGCAACGCCGGCTTTGGTTGGGGTGGGGAGAAGGCCGGGTTTCCCGTAAGCCATCATTGTACTCGCCATCTACGGCAAACCACAGAATAGGTGAGGGAGTGTAGGCTAACGGATAAGCTAACTGCTAACTGAGTCTGACACTGTGACATACCTGTGTCATGAGTCCATCGGGCTGCGCTGCTGCCGTCTGGCTGCCTTGCTGCATGGGCGGAGGAGGTGGGGGAGGCGGAGGAAGGCCCTGAGTGCCGACAGCGGGGACTTGAAGCAGCGGCACGGCGGGGTGGAGGTGAACGGGGACCTGAGGAGGCATGCCGTACGGCGCTGCGGGCTGTAAGCTGACGGGCAGGGCTCCTCGCGGGCCCTGCACCGGGTAGTGATGATGGAGAACATTCAACTGAGGAGGGATCACGTTCATCACGGGGGCGTTACCTGGGACCGCCTGGGGAGGGGGCTCACTTTTAGGAGCATCTGAAAAACAAGAAAAACAAAAATAAGAAAAAGGCAGTGAGACTTTAAAGAGCCTCTGGGTAAAGTCAAATTAGAGACTGCGCTCTACCTGCTCCTGCCGCCGCCGCCGCCGGCTGCTCCTCCTCTTGTCGGTTCCAGCCTCCCGATCCTCTCTCCCTCTTCGAGTAATAATCTTGAACGTCCGCAGGTAGTTTCCTCCGGACCGCCCAGCTGGATGCAGATGACCAGCCCGATCGGTCTCGCATCGAGTCTCCCTGCTCCGCCTCGTTCCTCCGGCCGCCGCCGCGGTTCTCGTTGAAGCGGCTGTACGCGTCGTTTCCTGAATTGTTGCCTGTACCTGAGAAGTTGTTTCTTGGCTGCCAGCGGTTTTCAGACGATTCCTCTGACTGGTTGTAGAAGCTGCGGTTGCTGCCGCCGCCGCCCCTCCCCACCCCCCGACCACGCTCCAACCCTCCACGCCCTCCTCTGCTCCCGCCGCTGTTGCGATTCTCTTCCCAGCGCGAGCCACCGCTGAAGCCCACGTCCCGGTTCCTGCCGTCAGCTTCGCCGCGACTCTTCTCCGTGACCCAGTCAGGGTTCTCCGACCAGCCCTGGCGCTCGGGAGAACTCTCTGCGGGGACGCCGTTCTCAGATCGCCCGGCGCCTCCATGGTTCCGCCGCCCCTCGCCACCGGACCCGCTACTCTGCCCGGACCTCCAGCCGCCTCTTCGCTCCTTCCTCTGCGGCGACTGCTCTCGGGAAGACGGACGTTCAGGACTCGGCGCCCGTCTGTACGACCTCGTTCTGGATCGTGACCTAGACCTAGACCTAGACCGTGACCTGGACCTGGACCTGGAGCGACTCCTGGATCTCCTCCGCCTCCTTTCTCGACTCCGCTCTCTCCTTGGATGGTCCCTCTCGGAGTCTCGGTCCCTGTCTCGTTCTCTGCTGCGAGCTCGGGATGAGCGGCTTGAGGGCGGGCTTCCGTCGCGTTCTCTGGAGCGGGAGTGCCTGGACGACTCTCGCTTTGACTCCCTCTTAGGTGACCAGGTAGAGGATGGGGAGTGGAAGCGAGACCTTCTCTGCCTGCCATTCTTCCTCTCTTGGCTTCCTTCTCTCTCCGGTCGCTCACTGCTGCTCTCGTCCTTCGTTTTTTGGCTTGTGGAAAGCGGACGTTCTGCGGGCGCCGGGTCAGCGACCTCCTGCGGCGTTTCCAAAGCTGGATCGTTATCATGCTCGCTGTTGGGGGAACTGCAGTCCATGGGGACCTCTTTAGTATCATCCATGGATGGACTGTCATCCTTGGTTTGATCCACAGAGTTGTCATCAACTGGAGGCTCCTCTGATCTGAGCGTTTTTGAATCAGCGCCCTCAGAAGTGTTCGATTCTGGGGCGGCCGCATCGTCCTCTGACTCTGCAGCCGAAGGTGAAGCCGGTTCTGGAGAATTCTCACACGACTCAGCTTTCACTTCCTTTAAAGAGTCTTCATTGTTCAACTCTTCTGACTCCGCCTCCATGTTGTCATCCTGCTCCGCCTGCTCATCGCAGCGTGGAGACGGCGGGTTCTCCAGAGGAGCGTTGGGAGAGTCGGGGGGCGACGCTGAGTTATCAGAGTCCTTTCCTCCAGGAGAAACGGGGCTCGTTGGCTCTTCCATGTTCTCCCTCTGTTTGTCCTCCGAGTCTGAACCGGGGCTGTAGGGGGCCGAGTCTGAGGGACAAGACGGGTCGTTGTCTCCGTCTGGTTTCTGTTCATGTTCATGTTCCTGAGATTCATCACTGTCGTGTGTAAAATCTTTGCTCAAAGATTCAGCAGCTCCTTGCTCATCAGCCGAGTCGTCCTGGTCTTCATTTACATTCTCTTCAGCCGGCTCCTGCTCAGTTTTGTCCTCTTCTTCCTCCACCTCCTTTTCTATGTTGTCATCTTTATTCGCCTCTTCTTCTTCTTCCTCCTCCTCCTCACTCGCTGCCGGGCTGCTAACGACTTCAGGAGTCTTCTTTTTCCTTGCTGCTGCTTTCCGTTTCCCACCGGCCTTTCGGTTTGTCACCCGTTTGCCTTTTCTCTTAGCCGGCGCCGGAGCAGCTCGGGCCTGCTTGGCGGGTTGGCCGGCAGACGAGTCAGAATCCGAGGAAGGAGACTTTGGCGGTGACGGATCGGACGCGGGAGCCTCCTCCTGGGATTTACTGTTCCGTCCGGATCTCCTCGCTGCTCGCGTCTCGGGCTCTTTGGTGGGAGCTTTGGAGGTCGAAGCTCGACCGCCTCGCTTCTCTCCTCCTTTAGGACACGTGATGGCGCACACAACACCCTGAAACACTGAGAGAGAATCGGTGTGAGCGGGGAATAACGTTGTAGCTTTGTTACAGGGCTGTTGCAGAAAAACTGTGCCATGTATGTGAAAGCAAGCTTAAACTATATGCAGAGTTTCTCCTGCAAGACCCCTAGTATTTTTTCCACAGAAGTCTGACTGAGATGTGAGAACGCAACAGCATAAAATCAGGAAAATTCATGGTGACATTTATTCCCTGCAATCAGTGCACGCAACCAGAACATCTCTGTAAACGTAAATGTAACACTTTGTGTCCTCCAGTATGTTGTTCTCCGCTCTTTTGTTGAAAGTGTCATTCTGTTGAATTTTGATATAGCAGCAAATGTTCTCAGTATATCGCCGTGTAGCAGACTCTGTTGCTTTGCCTGCAACTTCGTCTGCATCGTTCTTTTTACGTCATCGCTCTTTTGTTGAAAGTGTCATTCTGTTGAATTTTGATATAGCAGCAAATGTTCTCAGTATATCGCCGTGTAGCAGACTCTGTTGCTTTGCCTGCAACTTCGTCTGCATCGTTCTTTTTACGTCATGTGTGTGTGAGGTGCACGTGTGAACAACCAGATCAGGAGGATTTAGAAAGTCTCTAGAACTTTTCAGGAGTCTGTTTGTGAAACTGGCTGTAGTCTACATCTACTAAAATGTTTCCAACAGAATGAGCGTGTGAATCAGGCCAGTGAGGGGAGATGACTGTATGCAACATTTACAGAGAACACATCCCCCTGAGCACACCTGATAGGCAAGTTATTGAAAAGTGGATGTAGGATCATTATTTTGAGATGTTTTCTTAGACTGGTTTAAAAGTGAACCCACCCATTAAACAGCATTACCCACTCACACAAGTAGGTTCCCTTACTGTGGAAGAAACGCCCATTTGTAATTTACATAAACTCATAATAGTTATTTTTAATCCCTTTATTTAAACATTAAAGTAATTAAAAAAGATAAAATAGACTCACCAAAATGACCGGGGCTGAACAGTGAAGTGGAGGTGACGGGAGATGAGGGAACTCTGAATGGAAATGGACTGTGGTTCCAACCAGCAGGGTGGACATTATGCCTTGAAAAAGAAAAAAAAACCAATATGAAACACAACATCTTAGTTCAATGCTGTTTTCTTAACATTGAAACTATGTCAAAAGGCAAGGCAAGTTTATTCAATTAGCCGATACAGCAACAAATCAATTTAAAACTCTTCAACAGAAGACATCAAAACGTCATGATAAATAGTAAACGAAATATTAAAATAGAAAATTCAAAAATGATTTATTTTAAAGGAGCAGTATTTAATTATGACACCTAGTGTTCAGAATGGTTACTGCAGCCCAAATTCAAAACATTGGAGAGAGCTGTTTCCTTAGAGTCGAAGCTCACGCAGGTTGCTGTGTCAGGGAAGCTTCAGTGTTTATCCAGCTCTGCATGGGTCTGTAAACCTTTCTGCGTTCTAACCTCTCTCCATTTTTCAAAAGCATCTCCAATATTGATCCTAGTTTGAGCACGTTTCTGCTCGTGGAGCTTATTAGAAACATGCAGAGGCTTTTTAGGTCGGGTACAATCACTTCTATCTGAACCAGTTCTCTTGCCCGCTTCCATCGCTGCAACACCTGTTGACCTGATAACGTCCAAAACGGCAATGTGGGAGTGCCTAAAAACCGCCTACCTTCTTTGATCAAAATTCAGGAGCAGAATCTCAAGTTAGAAGGAGGACATAGTGGCTGCTGCATTGTTGTCAGAGAAGCCAGCACTTCAACATAGCATGTTTCCTTAATGTCTGATCATATAGTAAGATACCTTTATCATTTAAATCAGTAAATATCTTACAGATTGCTCCATTAAAATACTTAAAACAAACTATTTACAAAAAAGGTTAAAGGTAAAAGTTGTTTTTTTGTGTTGGGAGTTCTTGTTTTCTTCAAGACTAAATCAGTTTGATTTCCTGAAACTTCTTAACAAGTGTAAATAACCACATTACTGCATGTATTTACCAGAAGTAGAGAAATGTGCTCTTTCTGTTTCCACTTATATGAGACTGGACATAAAGGAGAATGGTTCAGAACAGAAACAATCTATATCAGTCAGTTCGTCTTTCTTACCTTGAGACGCCGTTAGCTGGGATGGGAGCAGCAGGCGAAAACCACGGACAATGTTGCGTCTGGGGTCTGCACTGTTTGAAGATGCTGTCGTACGGGAGGTCCTCGGCCACCCAAACCGGCTCTGCACTGCAGGAGGAGGGGAAAAAAAAGAGTTACTGATGAAGTTCTTCCAAATGTCCAACTAAAACCCTTTCAAACTAAAAGCCAAAGATTTATAACTGGCAATCGGTGACAGTGGGAAAACTTGTCTTTAAGCTAGTCGACTGTTATAACCTCTGAATCCTCTGGTAACATTGATCCATAACAATTCATCAAATAGGGAAGCGTGTCTTACATGTCCTGAGTCGATGTTGTCGTCAGTGAGACACATGGAGAGGGCGACCAGGCACAGCACTCTGTTCCTCTCACCTGGAAAGAAAACATCAAACACGGATGAGAATATGAAACAATAAATTGATGAGTTGAAAACACCAAACGCCAAAAACTGTTTATGAAAAATGAGACGGGAACAATTCAAACACCTTTTTTCTGCTCAGTGAGGACGGGTCTTCATCATTACCTGGAAAAGAAAGTCACAAACTGTTAACCCTGACGGAGCGAGTAACTCGTGCATATCTCTGAAGAGAAGTTTTGTTCATACATTTCCTCACAAGTCCTTTTGTTTTGGGGTCTGCCGTCCTCTCCACCTTTTGCCGTCTTAATCGTCTTGCAGGCTTACTTCTGAAAACAAACCTTGATTAGAAAACCGAAGTAACACCCAAACAGATTTCTCTTAAAAGTTATATAAGGAGCTGTTTATTTAAAGTGTCCTTTAGTTTACAAGAAGCATTGTCTCAGAGTCAGCACAAATGAAACTTTACTGCTTATTTCATGTCGTTTAGGTCAGATAAGACCCTCTAAGGGCGCACTCACACTAAACGATCTGTACCGTGCCTAAACAAGTGTCACCCTCAAAGTCCAGTTCGTTTGACTAGGGTGAGTGCCCCCACTGTGCTTAAACACGGTACAGTTCATGCACGAGCACAAGCATGGGGGTACACAACAAAGACAGTCTTCCATTATTGAGAAATCCCGGAGTGTTATGGCTGTACAAAGTAGCCATCATGTTCTGTGTGTGGACAAGTATTTTTTTTATTTTTTCAGCCTGCCTGTCTCGTAAACGTAGAAAGCTTCATGATCACGTAAAGCCGTTCAAAAAAAGGTAACCATGCTCAGGCCCGGGTAGTCCCGGAGCGGTTGAGTGCAGGCCAGCGGGGGAATGGAGGGGGGAACAATCGTGCTGAAGCATGCTGCAGGACAACTTTGCCGAGTGTGAGCGCGCCCTAAAACTCCTGGATTGCTGGATTGTGCACTGGGGCATCATCATGTCCACATTGTGTACCCGTGCCTGTGCTCGTGCATGAGTAACCGCTCTGTGCCGAAGCCCCCTTCTTCCAGCCGTGCCAGGGTACGGAGCACTCACACTATCCAGACAAACTGGACTTAGGGGGTCAAATGTGTCGGTCTAGTGTCAGTGCATCCTTAAATAGGACTTCTGGTAGGGGGGTAATGAGAAGAAATCTCTCCAGAACAAGGCCTTTGTGGAAGTGGGTAATGAGTTTCCAATATTTGATCTGATTGAACAGTTAGCTAGTTTTAATGTTTGGAATCTGACTTCTTACTTCTGTGATACCCGGAGACAAAACTGAACACAAACACTGCTTTGTTCCAAACAAACAGAGTAACCAGCCATCAGGCCTGGATATATTCCATCAGACGGTCTGGTACTTACTTGAGACAGTCTTTCTGAAGGGGGTTTCTACAGCAGCAGCTCTCAGCTTCAGGCTGAGTCGCTCGCTTCTTCACAGGAACCTTTTATGACCAAGACAGAAGGACATTAAACTTTGCTGCAAAAATTTACATAAAACGCCATAAAAAAATAAAAAAAAAGATGTCAGGCTTTCTCTAGCTTTAGGCTGAGGACAGACTGTGTAGCAGTTGTATTTCCTCAAGAGAATATAACGCAACACCCAAGGTGACATTAACAACTGGATACCTAGAAGATAAAAATATGAAGATGAGTAAAAATACTATACAGATAAATATATTGCACGTTATATAGTGTTTTACAGTCCAGTGAGGTAGTCCTGTGTGGGGGTTTTGAGGGGGAATGGAGGGATTATTTTTTCCTGTTCAAAAGTCTTATGGCCTGTGGGAAGAAGCTGTTACAGAACCTGGAAGCTCTGCTTCGGAGGCTGCGGAACCTCTTTCCAGAGTCCAGCAGCGAAAACAGTCCTTGGTGGGGGTGGGAGGTGTAATATGTGGCTGTACGTAAAGAAGTTCTATCTTTTACACAACTGACTCACAGCATGCAAACAAAAACATTCACAGACAGAGAGGGAACGTCCAGCTTTACATTTCACTCTCCTCCAGGCTACAGAGTTGAATTACAAGCAGGAGGAGAACAGATTAAAACAGACGAACCTGCACACAGCTGAGATTCCCGTCCCATCTGTAAACATTAGTAAAAGGTCTTCTGTCCACGGGGCAGGAGGGAGCCATCTGCAACTAGAAGAACAGAACACAAAATGTCTGAATAAACACGTGTTGAATGAGCACATTAAAATAATACCAAAGGTCTGAATGCTATGCTACAATTGTTTTTGCTTCGATAAACAATGAGCTTAAAATGTGGACCGCAATTTTGAGTGTCAGTCTCTGTAAGTTCAGTATTTAGCCAACTTTTTAAATGTTTTATATAACATTTTTATAACTTCATTTTAATAACATCTGTTGGGAACAAACTGCTCATTTGCATACAAGCAAGCCCATGTTGTCAGTCTAAAGAAAACTGTCACGTCGCAGGAGTTGAGGAACTCATTTTATAGACGCAGTCCTGAACCATATATCACTCCTATAAATGAGAAATGCTAAACCTAACAAAGCAGAACGGAGCCTCACCTCTGCCCATGTGAGGAGGCATCTGAGGCAGAAGACGTGACAGCAGCTGTCGGGCATGGCGAGCTCGCCTCCAGCCAGGACGCCCAGGCAGATAGGACAGCGCTCTGCCTCCTCAGGGTCTGCCCCATCAGGCGGGCCCTGACCACCTAAAGCCACAGGATAAGGATTAAAGATGTGCAGATACACTTCAACTGATGGGACACACGGTGTGTAATGCAGAGTGTATCTGAACGTCTGACTGATGACCAGTCTGATGAGAAAATATGAAAGCTCAGTGTGTGTGTGTGTGTGTGTGTGTGTGTGTGTCTCACCACTTCCTGCTCCAGTCATGTCCCCCCGGCCTGTCCTGCTCACCACTGCAACACAGAGAAGAAGAGACGATCAGAAGTTGTTTTATATTCTGATATATTGCACTGTGTGTTGTATTCTGTTAAAACCATTCTTGCAAAAGTATCTATCATCCATCTGTCTATCCATCCTTCTTCAATGTGGCCATAACGATATGAAGTGAAACAAAAAACAAGGACTTCTCTGAAGCTGTACCTCAAAGTATGAATGTCTGTCTTTTCTTCATGTCTTTCACAACATTTGTGTTTCAAACATGTTTCCTCTGAATCCAAAATAAATAAACTGTGGTGACTTCATTGTCACCGTTTAGCCTGACTGCATCAATACGGTTTGAAAGCCGAGTCGTTATACCCAGGTGTCCATCAAATTCAGCCATGTGTTTATCATGAATGTTCTTATTGTGATGATCCGGGAGAGCCATCATTCTGAGCCTAGCTAACCTATTATAATTTCAGTTCAGTAAAGTTTCAGTTTGTGAAATCACTCCTCTGTACACAGTGGAGACGATACAATGGCTGCCACACACACCCCGTGCATATGGTTTGATTTAATGATCTCAGTCTGAAATCAATCGATGGCAGATGTTGCACAATTGTGACCCTCTACATCCTCAATATGAGCTCAAATCATCGTGAACTACAAAGCCGCCATAAGCACAAATTGTCTATCAGATTCTGACAGGAACCCTTACAGGGAGAAACTGTCGTCCAAAAAGATGACACCCAAAAAAACATTTTTCACCCTATTAATAAAAAAAAAAAGTCACAACAAGCACAACATCATCCATCAGTTTGGATTTCACTCGTGTTGATGGTTCAGTTGTAACATGATTAAACAGTATTATTCAGACTATTTATGACACTAACACTTAACAGTATTTCCCCAGGAGCGCAGACAGGCTAGCAGTTAGGTCGCACGCAATGTATGGAGGCCTTAATCCTCCAAGTGGGCGGCCGGAGTTTGAGGTCGGAACCTGCGAGTCCGACCTGCGGTTCCATTCCTGCATGTCATTCTCCCCGAGCTCTCTCCCCAATTTTCAACTCTATCCACTCTCCTATCCAAATCAAGGCATACAAATAAATAAATACATATTCTTTTAAAAAAGTCCCCACAAGAACGAGTCAAGTCTTTAACGTTTATGAGCTTAAGGTGCATCAAAAGTAACACACTCCCCCGGTCCCGCTTAAATCTTTGAGTTTTGTTAATAAAAAAATAAAAGACTGGACGACCATATGTGAGTGACCCTATATTGATAATCTGGTTCTTCATATCCAGGGAACCCTTTAACCCTGCAGCCTACACAGAGGTTAGATTGATTTGTCAGTCCATAGTTCATGTAGAGCTGTGACTCCAAAAGTCTAAAAAAGGTTTGCAGTAAGAGATTTTCACACCGCCAAAATATCCCTGTATCTACAGTATAACTAAACGTTTCTGATTATTGTGATTATTCTACATGGTTACATTTATTATCACTTATACTCCTTAAAGCATGAAAGGACAAATCCCTGTGTCCACTGTGTCCATTTCCCAGGCAGAAGAGCGTTGGCTGTGCGCTCGGGATCGCCTGCATGAAGCGTTTGCGCACATTCGACCGGTCTCTATGACAACGATCTGTTAACAACCGCCGCTGTATGACCGACACAGCTGCGTTACTTTATAGTGTGTTTTTTTTTTTTTATTTCAGATTGTTTTAATTCATGATCAGACACGGAGCAAAGACGATGTGGCTACAAGACATGACTCCAGAGGCGGCAAAACTACGGGGAATAATATTTGGAAAAGCGCGCCGGTGACTTCAACTGCAGCTTTCAACTTGAGCGCTCGGGGAAAAAAAAGACGCTGGGCGCTGCGCTGTTCCTCCAGCGCTGCTGCCTGCTGCTGCAAATGCTCTCTCATCATTGAAAACTATTTTTAAAAAAAGACGCTGGCTGACTCCAGGTGGACACTGGGACAAGTGGTTCTTTGGTTGAAAGAAAACTGCTTTATCATAACATCGTAACGTACCATGCCTGCATGTATTGAGATTCAATAAGGAGGAAATCGTGTTTTTTACCACACTGAACAGGCTGAGGATACAGTTTAACAGACTTCTTTCTGCAGATTGATTTGAGTGGATTTAGTCCTTCAAAGTTTGGGATTCTCACCACGGCTGCACAACGGATTGCGATTTCAGCGTTATCGTATCGTGATGAGAGTCTTTGGAATAAACACATTGTGAAAGTCTGAAATGATCACAATGAACAACACTCTTAATATAGTTAAACAATGCTTTATCACGTGGCATGTGTGCACTGCAACTTTTGGGATGAAGGCCATGCTATCACACCGTGTTGATGCAATCAGATGAAGCTGAAACTAACCATCTCTCTCAAGCATTAATGCCAATTTAGTGTAGTGAAAAAGTGTTTTTATTTATTCACTTTGGGTGTGTTGGGGGGGAGGGGGGGCATGTTGCAAACAGATATTGTACAAGACATGAATGAAGAGCAGCAGACAGACTGATAGCTTATATGTCATCTGTTATTGTGTTATTGAACCATGTTATTGCACATTTTCCTCAGGTCGTGCAGGCTTAATTCTTAATAGTTAATGCAGCACATGGTTAGTTGTCTCAGTCCTCATTTTACATTTTCTGCACTTTTTTGTTCAGTTAATGTTACAAGTGAACATTTTACAGTCACTTTGACACAGAATGTATGTTTAGTCCAAGTACCACTGTCTCTCCTCTTGTTCAGAAATCAGTTCTTGAACATTGTTAATTCACTTTCAGGGTTTCTGTGGACAGATTTCTTTCCAGCAGGCCATGAGACCTCTCTAACAGTCTGAGATTTAAAACCTCTGAGAGCTCAACCAGGTCTGGATTTAAACATTGTCATTATGGAGAACTTGAATGATTAAATATTTAAGAACAAAAAGGCTGAGATCAGCACTTTGGTGATGCTGATAAAGCCTTAACTTTCATTTCAAAACACTCATAATAAGCCAAATAAAGAGCACAGGTCGATAGTTTCTGATCTTGTGGTTCTGATTACTTTCACTCACTGTTAGCTTTCCATCAGGATGCTCAGTTACATAAAACTGTGTCTCCAGTGTAACTAAACAGCAGATGAGTTGGCATGCAGGCACTTGTGAGAGCTGCTGTGTGGAGCCAGCACGGCCCTCTTCCCGGAGACACAGAATTAGCAGCAACTTGATCAACCGGTGCCAACTCGACGACAACAACACGGCTGTTGCTGGTTAGCCAGGTAGCTAATGCTAGCTCAACACATAGCTACCTGAGAGTTAGCCGTGTGTTGTTAGCACTGCAGCACACTTTGCTAAATTGTATCTAATATTAGCCATGGTGATTGTACTGAAGGTCACAAGTTAGCTAGCTGGCTAGCATCAAGCCGAAAGCTAACTAGCCGATTTGAATAACAGCACCTGCTTACGTCGCTTTTAGCCTGCTAGCAGTTAGCACTAGTTAGCTAGTTGTTGTTGTTGTTGTTGTAACTCACCTTTAAGTGCTGCTGCAGCTGGTCTGCGCCGAGTAAACTGGTTTATGAGTCCAACTTCCCGCTACAAAATGCTGACGAATCGTTCAGTCCGGGAATTGTTTTGGGCTAAAAACGGAGCGAAGCTTTCAGAAAGTCTCAGCCACATGTCTCGCAGTCTGTCTGAGAGTTGGTGCAGCTGGCGCCCCCTGCTGGAACCTCCGAGCACTACAGGGCCGAGAGTCTTAATCCGTCTGAAAGCATTACACCGAAAACAGATGACAGCAACAGGTAACAAGTAACACAATACTGTATTCAACATACACTCTGTTAACATGCTGAGGTGCTTTGACATAATCCACTGCTTTCAGGGTTTCACTGTTTTAGCTGTAAAGCTGTTTTTATTGTTTATTTCATGTAATAACTTCGACGTCCTCTCATCATGTTTATCTATTTTTAATGTATTTTTTTTCTTTCTCTTTAGATTTATTTTATCTTATTTTCTAGCTTATACCAACTTGTATTGTTTTAATCTCTTGTTTTTGTTTTCATTCATTTTAATTGCTTATTTATTGTCTTGTATCCTTATTGGTTTATGTAGCTCCTGTGTTGTTATGATGTTGGGGTTACTGATGTTGGTTTGGTTTGGGTTCTTTACTGTTAGGTTTTGCAAACATTTTCACCTGGAGGGCCAAACTGGGGCTCTGACTCACAGTGGTGGCGTGAAGTTTGTGTGCACAAACATAGGACTGAATAGCATTTCCTATCATTTCTTAATGTTAAAAGTGACACAATAGAGTAACAACATAAATGTTTTCTTAGCTTAAGATGTTCTGTATGTCAAAAGTCACAATTTAAAGTAATTATAAATTACAATCAGCTGTCAAAATGTCAAAAATACATTTATTAACAGCATTTTATCGACTACATTAAGAACAAATCAAAGCAGTTATCACAAAGTGAGCTGGTTATTTCTCTCAACAAATATTGCAAACTACAGATGATTTAACTTCGTACTTTTCAAAAGTACAACAAGGGGACAAAAATAGCTAAAAAAAAAAGTATGTTTTCTGATGTTACACGTTATGCACATTATGCCTGTGTGTGTGTGTGTGTGCGTGTGTGTGTGTGTGTGTGTGTGTGTGTTTGCAGGGTTTTTGTTAGCGCTTTAATAGTCGAAAAGTATAATTTTGCCTCTTCACTGCCCTCTTGTGGCCAATGTCAGAAACTGAATAATCGAACTAGTGAATACACTTTTAAAATATAAATAAATCTGTATAAACTGCACGGGATGGAAACCCTAAAAAAAAGGGAAGAGAAACTTTTAAAATAATAATTTTCTGTTTCTGTACACTTCATAACCACTTGATAAAACTGGATTAACAGTTAGCTCTAAACTCACTAACAACTGTTCATCCAGTTGTATCAATCCTCAAGTTGCTGTTCATGCACTGACATGAAGGTTCATAGCTTTGAGCAAAGAGTCGGGGAAACCCTCACCTCAATGCAGAAAGTCTTTAATATTCAGCGCTCAGTTTGTCATGGTTGGTAGTCAGGACTTCAAACAGCCCTCTTGTCTGATAGAACCTCATAAGCTCCATTTGCTGCCTCGCTTTATCCTTTTGTTCCGTTTAACCACTGGACATTTCTCCCTTGGCGCGTTTCTTTCAACATAATTGAATCCTTAATGACTTTACAGAGCGCTCCACTTCCCACAGCTAACCGAAACACACTGTGTTTGATCTGACATTACAGAGAGCGGACTATGTTCACCATAAACATCGATACAGTGTCACTTCTTGTTAGTGTTTACACTTAGATCCTCATGTGTTTGTGTTTGATCACGTCTGAGTATTTTCACGTCTTTATTTGGGGAGACAGGAGTAAAAAGAGTCAGACATCAGGGAGAGAGTGGGGATTGACATGCGGGGAAGGAGCCACAGGTAGAATTTGAACCCGGGCTGCACGCTGCAAGGACTACAGCCTCTGTACATGGGACGCTCGCTAACCACTAGGCCACCGGCGCCCCAGTGCTG